AAGATAAATGACTTAATGAGCATATAACTCTGTCGGATTTATGAATAATAAGCATTATTAATATTAAACAAAAAAGTACCTAATTGATGAATAATTGTTATAATGAATATTTCAATTTAAATGTTTGATTAGTGTCATATAGTTCTCAATGAGTATACACAGTTTTGATTTTCTAATTACAATTTAATTATATAATGTTTTAACAACAATAACAAATGATGATTTCGCTTACGGTAATGCAATAAATGATGGTGATAACATATAATTATTACTGCCTGAAACATTAAAATATGTTTCAACGCATTCCCCATTTTGTATTTTATATGCTTTAAAAAACGTTAATTTTACTATTACTTACGTTTTAAAGTTTCTTTCTCCTCCACTTGCACGACTTCACAATGTTTAAGATAGACAACACATAACAGACATAATATGGTTTAGAAAACAATAGGTTTTGGCTGTATTAATAAAAGATACTTATTTTATGAATGTAAATGAAAATATATAAAAAGAGCTGTTATTGAAGCATTTGTTGGTTATATTTCAAAGCTAAAAGGTTTTAAATAAAGAATCTTAATGGACAATGTGAATGAGTTCTTTCATAGCATTTGTAATTATTTAGCTGTTATAATTAATAGTTTGCAAACTGACATTTTGGTTCATTTTGTTTAATAGCCTAAAGGAGTTTTACGTCGTAAATTCTTTTTATCGACAATTTAAATTCAGATATTTTCCAACGCGAATATTGACATCTTAATTTCTTCCTGATACGTTTTTCCTGATTCTTTCGTTTTGACGGCCAAGGTCATTCGCATAAATTGGCACGAGTTCATGTGTTCATCAATTGTCAACACTGAAGCTTTAATTTAAACAAACGAAATAACCATTCTTTACAGGAAGATGACACTTGTTCTCAAGGTTGTCAGACTAACCACGAATGATTGACATTTTGTGTCTTCCAAAAACGTGCTGGATATAAAAGTCAAAGTGAATTCTCTATAAGTGGCCTTGGGAAAGATTAACAAAATAAAATACGAGTGTGTTGATGGTCTTAACAAACCTCGTTGAAACAATAAAGTTCCCTTGGAATCGTTAAAGGGCTCCCATTTAGTGCAATCGTGATGTGTGAGTCGGCTGATTTGAGTTTGATGGAATTAAAAAAATCACAAATTGACTTTATTTACAAAAATTCGCCTGGACATTTTGAGAAATGTTACTAAGAATGACAAAAGAAATGATCTAGTCATTGTGAATGAATTTATTGATTTGCGTTAAAAGATCAATTTAAATTGAACAAAAACATTTTACACGTCATGATCGCACAAAATGAAGGCCTGTTAACGTTTCCGTACTTTTTACAATAATGTTTTTCATTTTACAAGAGAAAATCATTGTACCCTATTATTTTATCTTTTTTATAGACGAGATAGGCACACACGTACAAACATTTAATTGCATATTTTTAAGAAACCTAGATCAATTCCTCAGTGTATTTCGTATGCAGGGTTAATCAATTAGAAAAGTGATAAAATACTGATTAACTTAACTTTAGCAATCAAACGAATAACATAGGCTCAATCCAACGGGATCGGGGTAATTTTGTGAGATTATTATGTCTAAAGTATTATCCTTCAAACCGTCTTGCACCAGCTAATTAAATCTAACGATATGTTTTAAAATTTGAATTCAAAATAATTATGTCTATCTTATTAATAAGTATTTAAAGGATAAGTAATAAAAGAACTGAGTGTTTAATACACTGAGTTCTCCGGATTTTGAAGACAATAACAGTAGCTTAAAAGATTGTCACTTACAAAATAGAACGAACAAAATAAGACTGACATTTGTATGTCTTCCAATAAACTTAAGTTAGACCTTTATATGAATACACTTGCCAGTAATAAAGGTTCAGAACAAACGCCTATATAGTTTTACTGTAGCGGTATCTTACGATTTTTTTAATTATTTTATTCAATGGTAGGATACTACGTCATCGCGCACCTGCTGAATGCTCCCACTTGGACCACTTGTTTCGTCGATTCGAAGGTAAAATACAATTTTATTATAAGAAAACGTAAGAGTATTAAAAATCATGTAGCGCACCAAAGAATGGCCATAGTACTTGAGATAATTGTAAAAAAAGTTTATAGATTTATTGCCTGGTTTAAGTCTGAAAACGGGATAAGTGTTTTTCTCTGAATGCTCCCACTCGGACTTTTCCCGAAACATATATGAAATAAGGTTGAAAACCTTCTTGAAAATTATAGTATATCATAATTTTATATTATAAGTATATTATAAGTTTTGACGGAAAACGTCATCATCATATTTTGCGTAATTTTTATTGTTGACGTCAACGACGTCATTTCCTGTATGCATAACATAGTTCAAGATAAGACATGTAAGAAGATAAATATGTGATTTATATAAAAATAAACAGTAACTCCTTGATATAGAGGGGTTTAACCCCTCGAAACGTTGGAGATAGAAAAGTTTGTGTAGTAGATAATTATGAATTAATTGTTTCCAGATAGAATTTAAAATGAATACACAAAATAGCTGTGAAATATTGGCACGTCGAGAAATCTTAAGGCAAACAGAGAAACTCTCGCGTTATGAATCACATAAGGATTTTCTTAGAGTGCTTGAGCTTGAGGAATAGTGTTGTTCCAGAAGGATTCACTTTAAATTGGACTCCTTGTATAGCAGTAGATGATCAAATATCATTGAAATATGAAGCAATATTAAAGAATGCAGGATTACAGTTGATGGAAATTACCAGTGAAGCTATAGAACGTATCACAACTGATCTCAACTTTACAATTCAACGTAAGTTAGATAACTCAATATTTAATAAAATAGATATGAAAAATGACATTACCAAAACGTACAACAATTATACGGAAAAGTATAGTGCAATTAAGAAGAAAAAACGGATACAGAATGGTCTAATTGGAAACAGAGGTATGACATCTTTAACTAAAAAGAATAATGATTCAATGATAAAAGAAAAAGTTTTTGATCATACCCAAAAAATAAAAAGTGCATGTGATATATTTAATATTGAACTTGAAGATACTGATCAGGTTTGTAATAATTTAAGAGTAAGTTGTGATGATGATAAAAATATAGTTATAGAAGTGGAATCGGATGGGAACTGTTTCTACAGATGAATGAGTGTCTTTTTGACTGGATCAGAAAAATATCATAAGCAGATCAGAAAAACCACAGTACACCACATGGAGGGCAATATAGAAGAATATTTTCCATTTGTTGATGGTGATATTAAGAGTCATTTACAAGAACAATTAAGAACTGATGGTACATTAGGCTCATGGGCAACAGAGGCCCAGTTATTTGCAATCTCAACTATTCTTAACAGGAATATTATTGTCAATGATAATGGTATAAAGAATGTGTTTTCTCCCTTGATGACTCTAAGGCATTTGAATGGAAATGAAAATGAACCAATTCATCTTAACTATTCCAGCAACCATTTTAATCTTGTATTGGAATTGAAAGATCATGCTGTCAATAACATATCACAAAATGATAAACTAGTATATAGTGATGCTAATATAGGCAGCCAGTTCATGCAGAGAAAAGACTAGAAATGTGTCCATAGGACACTGATGCCCCCACACGCCACTGTTATGTCAATCTTATGACTCTAGGTCAAATATTTTTTGGACTACATGTGCCACAAGTTGAAAACTAAAAATCAACAAAGGGCCATATTTCTATTAAATTTGGCCGCAGCAAAAAATCCTTCCTTTACTATGATCTACACATTAAGATTGTTAATCCCTGGAAGTTTAAGCAAAATCTGCCATCCGGTTTAAGAGGAGTTGCATTCACAAAATTTCTATATAGAATATAATGAAAAAAATCAACAAAGTGCCTTAATTCTGTTAAATTTGGTTGCAGCATAAATTCCTTCCTTTACTACCATCTACACATTAAGGTTGTTCATCCCTGGAAGTTTAAGCAAAATCTGCCATCCGGTTTAAGAGGAGTTGCATTCACAAAATTTCTACATAGTATATAGTGAAAAAATTAACAAAGGGCCATAATTCTGTAAAATTTGGTCGCAGCAAAAATTCCTTCCTTTACTACCATCTATACCTTAAGGTTGTTCAGCCCTGTAAGTTTAAGCAAAATCTGCCATCCGGTTTAAGAGGAGTTGCGTTCACAAAATTTCTACATAGTATAGTGTGAAAAAATCAACAAAGGGCCATAATTCTGTTAAATTTGGTCGCAGCAAAAATTCCTTCCTTTACTGCCATCTACACATTAAGGTTGTTAATCCCTGGAAGTTTAAGCAAAATCTGCCATCTGGTTTAAGAGGAGTTGCATTCACAAAATTTCTACATAGTATATAGTGAAAAAATCAACAAAGGGCCATAATTCTGTTAAAATTTGGTCGCAGCTAAAATTCCTTCCTTTACAACCATCTACACCTTAAGGTTGTTAATCACTGGAAGTTTAAGCAAAATCTGCCATCCGGTTTAAGAGGAGTTGCGTTCACAAAATTTCTACATAGTATATAGTGAAAAAATCAACAAAGGGCCATAATTCTGTAAAATTTGATCGCAGCAAAAATTCCTTCCTTTACTACCATCTACACATTAAGGTTGTTCATCCCTGTAAGTTTAAGCAAAATCTGCCATCCGGTTTAAGAGGAGTTGCGTTCACAAAATTTCTACATAGTATATAGTGAAAAAATCAACAAAGGGCCATAATTCTGTTAAATTTGGTCGCAGCGAAAATTCCTTCCTTTACTGCCATCTACACATTAAGGTTATTCATCCCTATAAGTTTAAGCAAAATCTGCCATCCGGTTTAAGAGGAGTTGCGTTCACAAGATTTTGGGACGTACGGACGGACTGACGGACGGACTGACGGAATGACGGACGGACGGACGGACAAGTGCAACGCTATATGCTCCCACATTGTGGGGGCATAAAAATGAGCCAAACGACAATGAATGTTTAAAGAAGATGAATGAGGATAGTAAGAAGACGGATACAAGGTACAAAAAATATAAACGTAGATATAAGAAGAAAGATAACGGATTAAATAGGATAGATAATAAAAGTGTAGTAATTAATTTATCAAAAAAAGACTTAACCAAGAAACAGATAAATCTACTTTCAAAAGGTGAGACTTTTGTCCCAAATAACAGAAAACCAGATGTACCAAATATCATGTGTGAATTAAAAGAATGGAAAAGGAGAATGAGGTTACGAGAGTTTTTTTACGATTCACAAAGAGAAAATAATGATAATGAAGTAAGTGAGGAATGGTGTGATAAGAAAAAAAGTAACAGTTGTTTCACTCCTAATAGTGGAAGAGATAAATGTTTGGATGCTTACATAGATGCAGTAAAAGAAGAAATCTTAAAAGGTATGAAGAAAAAAGAAGTGCATAATATCTCTAGATTAGAAGAAATTGCGATGAAAGACCTCCTTGAAGATGGAACTATTGTTATTAGACCTGCAGATAAAGGATCAGGGATAGTGATACTAGACTCTGATAAATACAATGAAGATATTGAAAATGAATTAAAGGATGCAAGTACATATAAACATGTAAGTGAAGACCCAACAGCAATGATTTTAAAGACAACAAAGAAACTCATAAATAGAATGGATAAAGATAGAACTCTCCCTAAAAGACTTTCACAGTATTTAATTCCCGACAGCCCAAGACCAGGACAAATAAAGGGAAATCCCAAAATACATAAACCAGACAACCCCCTCCGACTAATCATAAGTGGTATTGGAACAGTGACAGAACAAGTGGCAGAACTAGCTGAGAAAGAATTAGATGAATTTGTAATTAATACGCCTAGTTATATAAAAGACACCTCCCACTTCCTTAATGAAATTAAAGACATAAAAAATCTACCAAACAAAAATGCAATACTATTTTGCTTTGATGTGGAGAAACTATATCCATCAATACCAAAGAATGACGGGCTAGAAGCATGCAAAGAAGCTTTAGCATACCGCAAGTCAAAACAAATTCCTGATGAAGAGATTCTGAATATGATACAGCTAGTTCTTGAAAACAACAACTTTGAGCATAATGGAAAACATTACATACAGGTTGATGGAACGGCTATCGGATCAAAGCTTGGGAAAAATTATGCTTGTACATACATGCGAATTTGGGATAGAAAGTTGTCAGAATTTAGGTTACAACCACTTATATACAAAAGATTCATAGATGATGGCTTTGGTATCTGGACACATGGAATAGAGACTTTACAGCAATTTACAGAATATGCAAATAACATCCATTCAAAAATAAACATAAAGTTACGACACAGCCATAAACAAATCGAGTTTTTGGATACGTTGGTAATTTTAGAAAATGGGAACATTGAAACTGACTTTTATAGCAAAGAAACAGACACGCACATTTATCTACACAAAGATTCAGACCACCCCAGAAATACAAAGCAAGCTATACCTCATGGCCTTGGAATCCGCTTGAAAAGAATATGCAGTGACGATAACAAATATTATAAACAAAGATCACTCCTCGGAGAACAGCTTAAAAGTAGAGGTTACAAGACAGAGTGGATAAACAGACATCTCAAAAGGGCAGACCAAACATCCAGAAAAGAAGCATTAGAAAAGAAAAATAAACCAATGGACCAAGGGAGAATCCCATTAGTGCTTACATATTCAAGCTACCTGCCAGATACACACAAAATTGTGAAGAAAAATATGAGTATTCTGCAAAAATCTAAAAGGATGACAGATGTATTTAGGTCACCACCAATTGTAGCATACAAAAGATCAAAAAACTTTAGAGACATTTTAATTCATGGAAAACTAAAAAAAAAAGAAAGGCATAATACAGAGCAGCCGTTGTAGTGGTCCATGTGATACACCTGGATGTAAGACCTGCATGTTCCTATCACAGAGCGAAATGTTTCAAGGGAAGGACACTACGTATAGTATATATAGAGGTGGGGACTGTTACACCAAGAATGTAGTTTACCTGATAAGTTGCGGGAAATGTAATCAACCTGTATATGTGGGTGAAACAGGGAGGAGCATTAAAGAGAGGGTTAAAGAGAATACTTGGGATATAAGGGCATTCAGAGACAAACCTGTGTCTATCCACTTTAATTCATCAGCCCATTCAGAAAATGACATAAAATTCAAAATCATCGAATCAATAAATAACAATAAAAGTACAATCTACAGACGGATCCGTGAAGAATTTTGGATAAATAAATTACAAACATGGTCACCTATTGGACTAAATATCAAAACAAAATAAGATTTATCATTATCATTGTTGCCGTCATAATCACTTTGCTGGTATTGTTGTTGATATTGTTACTATTTTTCATAAGATGATTTGATAGTGATATGCACTTAAGGATTTATCAATATTATTATTGTTTTGATAGTTAGTATATTATGACAGTTATTATTGCATTCATCGGTATTTTTGTAAAACTGCGCTGTTGCAATCTAATTTTTATTTTCTTTTCAATTATATTTTTCTAACTACTAAAACATGGTAATTTTAGTTAGACACTGCTTATCACGTGTCGCTTGTCATTATTACTATTATTTATTATTATTATTATTATTATTACTATCATAATTATTATTATACCTTTAATTATTATTATTGCTGTTATTATTATTATTATTATTAAGTTTACGGTTATTTGCTGTTATGATTATTATGACTATTATTATGATTGTTATTATTATTATCATTATTACGGTTATTTCCTACTATGATGATTATTACTATCATGATTATTATTATTTTCATGATTATTATTGTTATAATTATCATTATTATCATTATAATTATTATTACAATTATTGTTATTTTTATTACCATTGTTCTTTTCCTTATTATTATTGTTACGGTTATTTCCTATTATGATTATTATTATCATCATGGTTATTATTATTTTCATTAATATTATTGTTGTAATTATTATTATAATTATCATTATTATTATTATTACCATTGTTGTTATCATTATTATTATTATTATCATTATCATTATTATTATTATTATTACCATTGTTATTATTACTACCATTGTTATTATGATTATTACTATTATTATTTTTATTATTATTAAATTATTTGCTATTGTAAATATTATTGGAATGTTTTAGTAGAAATTTTTTTAATAATAACAATCATTATTATTATTTTTAATGTTTTTTCAATGAAATAAGTTTCATAATTCTTGCTATGTTAATATTATAAATAATATTAAATAAGGGGAGCAACGTTATGCAGTGGAGCAATTTTCACGGAAAACGTCATCATCATATTTTGCGTAATTTTTATTGTTGACGTCAACGACGTCATTTCCTGTATGCATAACATAATTAAAGATAAGACATGTAAGAAGATAAATATGTGATTTATATAAAAATAAACAGTAACTCCTTGATAAAGAGGGGTTTAACCCCTCGAAACGTTGGAGATAGAAAAGTTTGTGTAGTAGATAATTATAAATCTTCATAATGTTTGTATTTGTCATTTAGCTTTATACATATTACAGAAATATACTAATATGCTTATCTACGAGTAAACAATTTAAATCACAGAAATTTATCGAAATCTATAAAATTCTTATTACACATGTCTAATTTGAATAAACTGTGTATAGGAAGCTGCATTTTCTATTACAGGTCAAGTAAATAAAGTTGGTCTGAAAAGTGTTAAATGGCAATACTTCACAAATAAACATTATTCATTCTTATTAACTTATCAAAGTAAGATTTACCTTTTTATGATTTTTTGTAATCTTACCAGATTGATCCTGATCTCACATTGCATTCCTTTTGCTTCTTAACCAAGTATTTTGCTATCATATTGACATACAGAAACTACATAAATAACATAATTTATTTATAATCTATGGGAAGGTCCTAATCGAATAATGCTAGAGCTTGTTTCCCAACCCATTTGCTTTTTGTCATAATTTAACGAAGTCGTATCATGCGTATGATACATGTATATGACATGTGTTTGATGCAATAAAATACGTGTAAACTAAACTTCAATACATAAAAGTAATGACACCTAAATCCCTTACACTATAAATAACTAATACTTTGACACTTTAATGTATCGTGCATTACGTCACAAAATTTTGTATATATACATTATTCATGTTATTACAATAAAAAATATTTTAAAATTACCTGTTAACGTGTTTGCAAAATTTTATTTAACTAATTAAAAGCTGAATGATAGATATCGTACAATAAAAAAGTCATGTTTGTATTATAAATTTCTTAAGAAGCGAGGATAATGTTTTTATATCTTTGATTAGAACAGTTAAATGGTTTCGTTTTCGTGCAATTGGAACCCCAAATGGGATCTTTGATCCTATATATATGATGAGAATTCATCAAAAAAGTTATAAAGACCAAATTGACGATCCAATGTTATCTCATTTCCGAATTAGAGTGCTATCTTATTATGATAATTTGAAATCATTTTTCTGAAACTGCAATGAATAAAAGGAATAAACATTGTATAAAGCTTCAGGAATACAAATTACAAGTTAATTAAGCTGTAGCAAATGTTATAAAGTCAATGACATTAAATAGTTTACATGGCGATTGATAAAAACCTGCAAAAGAATGCCAATATAAATCAAAATGTCAGTGCATAACAGGTTATCTTAACTCTTAAATATTTATTAGTCAGAATATTTTCTAGACATATCTTCACTGTCAGCGAACTGTTCAGATATATTGCGAGATGAGAAGTATTATTATCTGTTATACCGAAAATTAAAGAAATTAATTAGTGGTGTCCACCGGAGCCAAATTGGTATTCGTACTATTATTTTTAACATGCAGTAATTTACTTTTATACTATCTATAAAAAGTAATATACCCAGTCATTTTTTGTGTACTTCAGAACCACTTAGAGGATAATTTATTAAATGTACTCCTGGACCAGAAAATAAAAGCAATGGACCATAAATCTCTCAGATTACGACATTTGAGACAAACTCATATTTCCAAATAGTTTGTTAACAGTATTTAAATCTATTTAATGTCGGTCTAGTCTCTGAAGTTTCCTAAACAACCTAAAAAATATAAATAATGTTGTTTGGAAAGGTAACCTTCATTTGCGAAGGGATTACAGAACGCTATCGTTTTCATTTGCAGAATGTGTAAGCTTCTGTGAATATTAAAGACCATATATTTTTTCTAAATAAGTTCTATTGCGATGATCTGTAAATAAAAGTGTTCAAGCTTACTTGAAACTTGTTATGGTCCACTCTCGGAAGCTTACCTTTACCTTTACTGGTATCATAAGAGGAATTGTGTTCGTTACCCCTATTGTAGAAGAACCAAAATTTGCAAAGTTTATCATTTATTATATACTTATAAATGAAATATTGAGAAATATTGATGAAATAAAATGCGTATTTTCATTTTCCGTATTTTCACTGTAAAAATTTATTTTTCACTGCAGTGAAACATATTTTCCGTATTTTCACTGGTGTCTTGCCGGACTACTTTCTTTTAAATTCTGCCAGTACACAAAATTTATGGGAAAGTCTTTCAAATTTTATTGCAAAAAAAGAGAAAAATGTATATAATAAACAGAAAATTCAAGTTTTTTCTATAAATACATGATTTATTTTCATCTTGTGGCATGAAAATTACCATATTTCACTCGTGGCTACCGCCACTCATGAAATATTTATTTTCATACCACTCGATGAAAATAAATCATGTATTTATAGAAAAAACTTGAATATCCTCTATATATCACTAGTACTTCAAGTTACCTGCTTTGTATTTGAATTATAAGATAATATTTAATTTCCCTTATCAACATGTCGCCCAAACCTTAAAGCCAAAAATTTAACGGACTCATTTTAAGTCTGTATGTGTGTAAGATAATTAATTTGAGATCTCTGAGATTTAAGTGAGAGTTTTATTGTAAATTTCCAAGCTTACTAATAGTCAACCCTCTGTGTAAAGGCGATATAGTCACTTCTGGCTATATTGACCTGCAACCGCCAACACATTACACTACAATGTGTTTACGATTCACCCCAAACATCATTTAAACGAAAACGTGCATCACTAAGATATAACACAATTTGAATTATTTTTAACATACTATCAACGTTAATATGGTTATTTGTTAAATTATACCTAAGAAAATGCGCAAATTTTACATTGTAATAAAATATGATATATTATATTTATCTTTGATATACGAATCGTATATAAAAGTACACATTATTATATTTTGTACGTAATTCTTGATGGGATCGATTTTAGTGTTGTCTTGAAATTTGCTGTTTTCACAGGGAATCCTTATCAAGTTTAATTTGACTGTGTCTTAATGTCCACTTAGAAATATTAAATAAAGGGCTTAACACGTAAAAAGCAAGAAACAATTACAAGAAACAATTACACATGCAAGGCTTTACAGATCCGATTAAAAAATTTCAATGGCTTCTTTCAAATTGATTTTTCTAATGCTGCTTCTTGTGCGTTCTTGTATGCAAATGAAACGATTTGACCCGATTCGGCACATTGTAACAAATTTTATAAAATTAATACAAAATTCTTAACAGTAAAAGGACTTTTGCTGTAAGTGCAAAAGTAAGAATGTTTCATAATATTAGTGTGGTTTGTTGTTTCTTGCAATAATGCAACTAAAACAGTTATAACTGAAATATATTTTTGTTATCCGGGATAAATTGAGAAAAAAACACAATTTTGCGAAGTTTCGGATTATATCTATTCAAGAATCCTTCTGCTGGGCATGTGTGAAATGATTATCTTCAACGTAAAATTATAAGATATAAATGTTATATAATTCTGTATCAGTAATCCGCCCA